CGGAAAAGTGGGAACTAGCATGTTCGAAGACCGAAGTTCCTACCTCGGCCCCATAGGCTTTGAGAAGTGCTCTCCGCTCAACGCTCATCGAAGATGGCATCGTTAGAATTACCTTGTAGCTAAACAATCATTGTTCTTCTTGACTTAGCTGGCGAATTTCAAAACTTACCCTTTCCAATTAGCACAGTAAGCCAATGCAATACCCATATTTCCGCTGGTTGGTTCTATGAGTATAGTCTTCCCAGGTGTTATTTTTCCTTCCCTCTCCGCTGCTTCAATCATACTGAACGCTATGCGGTCCTTAACCGAGCCGGCTGGGTTCATGTATTCTAACTTGACTGCTGAAATTTAACGAATTCGTTGAACTATAATGAATGTTGAAGATCTCACGCAAATGAACAATCGTCATGAAACTACGTACCGATTTTCAGTATGGCGTGTACATCCTTATTTAGGTTTTTCGCGTTTTTTAATAAAAAATAATAGGTAAAAAACGATATGTTCTTTAATAAGACGATGGGTGCATCAGACAAATTCGTATACTGTCATTATAATTTGCATGCAAATCAACTATCAAAGAGGATCATCCACTTAAGTAAAATGGTGAAAGGCTTGCGTAGGACTTTTTAAAAATAGTTTGACAACTTACCTATAGTGGCATCTAAACCTTTAGTGATATTCTTCAACTTAAGTAGTGGCGTATTACCGATGATATCGCCACCAGATGTAGCCATAGTGTCGCGCGACATTTTCCTGAACTTGAATAGATTTCCAGTGTGACTAATGATAATAATGCTGGTATATTCGAGAAGATAGGTGATAAACGTTATTAGGTGACAAAAATAATAAAAAATGTGCTTTTGCCTTGGAAATCTGAAAAGAAATGAATGTTCGATTACTGTTTGTGTCGAAGCATACTGTAGTTGAGCTGCCTGCATTTCTAGCCAGAGAAAACGGTATAATGGTTGTATTTAACTGGCACAAAAGTTCTTGTGTTCACTTTCAATTTTTGACGCGATGTGCACAGATACATCACTACATAAATATGATTCAATCTCCTATAAAAAAGAAGGAAAATTGGATTTGTAGCAGCTCATCTCTGTAAAGATTCAGAGAGATACAAAGTAGAAGAAGACTACCTTCGATCATTCTCAGTCATGTCTCCAAAAAGAATTGGGTAAACCTTGCAAGAAGAATTTGCGGTGCTTAGCTTCAATGTTCTCTTCTTTTGAGTTGGGGAAGTTTTTCGCTACTCTTCCCTAAGAAAGGCGGCCGAAAAAAGTCAGAAAAAATTGGTTTCTTTATTCAGTACCATAATCTAGGCAAGCGAGAATCTACAAACTTTCGATTTTTTTTATGACAAGCTTTCGATTTCGTTGCAAAGATGACGAAACGTTAAAAGGAAACTAGGCGATCAAGAGACCAAAGAATCTGCTGTCTCAAATTGATCGTTAGGGCAGTGTCTGGTAATCAAGAGGTCAACAATGAGAAACGAGATTCAACCAAGACCCTTACGAAAGAATCTGGCACTCGAGTTTGCGCGGAATCTTCCTCCTGCTTTAAAGAAAATATTCATTTTTAACAAAGATCTTCAAACTAGCAGTCAACTGAAAGGAAGAAACATAAAATGCGAAAAAGGGCACCATGGCCATTTGGGAAATAAATCAGTTATAATTCGATGCAGTACAACATGATAGAGAGGTATTCTTTTGTATGTCTATGTCGAAATAAATGGTGTCAGGGGAATAACAACAGTTTTTATTCGACTGTTTTGGCTAAAAATGGAAAGTTTGTGAAGCATAGAAGATTAATTTATTACAGGATTTCTTTTTTGGTTGTTTCGTCGTTGATGTATTCATAATTAGACACAGCAGCAGATTTACGAATGATATATTAGCTAGGTCTGAAAGTTCTGTCGCACCATTTTCAAAATATCATAACTTCTTTCCTTTACGATGTTTTTGCACGGCTTTAATTTTGTTGTAAAGTATAAACCGTCTGCTTTCCAATGACACTTCGATCGCTCTCTATAGGCTTTGAGAGCAGAGATGAAGTTAAGAAAAGGAAATCATTCAATTTCCGAATTTTTAGGCAAGCCCATCAAAAATTCTAAAACTGTGCCATAAAAT